AATATAAGCACATTCCTTGTGTGATTGATACTCAATGACAAATGTATGCCTTAGACTTACTTTGATAGCACAGAAACATGGCCACTTATACATTATATCTAATTTTTTAATTTATAATTATAGCCATTAATTAAAATATGTTCAGCCTCCCTTTAAAATGCATAATACTGATCTACCTTTCCTAAGGACCTTTGGTCTGTTTTTTATGGGAGTACTTAAGCACTGTTGATGCAAATTGGTGTCTTTGGGCCCTTGTTTCCAAATTACTTTCATTAAATGTTTTCAGGTGCGATCAATACTTTTTGAAACTCCAAATTTAGTTTGTAAAATTGCATGCTTGGATTTGTGGAGCAATTAAATTATGCCCTTATTGAATGAGAACTATTTTAACTCTTCCCTAAGATCACGTATAATGAAAGGGAAGATATTCAAAGGCAGGGCTTTCTCTCTTTGTTTCAGGAAATGCTGCTTTCATTTGTAACCATGTAAGCATAAAATATCTTCTGAAATTTTTCTCAGAGCCTACATCGGAAGATGCTCTAGTACTGGCTGATGCTCTTTCCTAAACACCACACATCCCACATTCTCTGTGATAATTCAGACTCATCTCTAGAACTCATTTAAGAGCTTCATATTTTACCCTCCTGACCTTAACTAGTCTTCCTCCCTCCACATTGCAGCCAGGGTGATTTTTCTAAGGAGAAACCCTGACCATGTGCCCATTATGCTGATAGCTTTCAATGGGCCCCTGAGGCTTAAAGCGCAGATGCCAAACACTTTATTTGACCTTTCAAAGTCATTTAGGTGGTTGCACTCCCAATGATGTCTATGCTCCAGCTATACTGAAATGTCTTCCTATCCCTGAAGTACACCCTGGGCCTCTTAGCCCTATGCACATTCTGTCCCTAGAGACTCCAATGCATAGCACCTTTCTTTCCGCAGGTCCCACTTCCCATCTCTCGTAAAACCTAGTCATTCTTCAGGATTTGGCATCACTGAACTCTACTCAATCCATCTGAGGAAAATTGCCTCTGTGGGGCTCAGTAGCATCTGAATGCACCCAGCCTAATTATAGTATACACACGCTCCACTGTAATCTCTAGAGCTAGGTGGGGAGAGAGAGAGAGAGAGAGAGACACCTCTTCAAGAGACGGTTAGATTTTTGCATGTAAGAATCATACCTTCCTCTCTGAGCAGTGCCACTGCCTGTCAGTCAGACTAAGATGAACCATTCACAAAAGATAGGTTTTTTAGAATAAAATCTGTCCCACGGGACCCTTGCCTGACCTCTCACTTTTTGCTATTAACAAAGTGCAATTTACTGTTCACCAGAAGGTGTCGCACTAGCTCTATGTTTTCAGCACAGAATTTTTGGCTTTTCAGTTTTGTTCTAACATATTAATTGGGTTGTTATGGGAAGGAGACGATAATTTAGGCACTGTTTACAGAATAAAACTGATTTAACCTTCAGTTTTTCTGTGAAAAGTTTTTCTAATGTAGCATTCCAACCGAGATTGCCAAAGTAGAAGCCTTCAAAAAAAAAAAAAATTAGAGTGAAATAAAAATTCCCAGATAGGGCATCAAGTTAAGAACACAAAAAAATGTGAACACAGAAGTCGGCACCTCACAGTGGCCATGGCATAGGATAGCTGCAGCTACACTGTTTCTCTTCATCGCATGCAAATCGCAAATTGTGTTTGGTGTTTGAGCTAAATAAAGCACTTGGAGGAAAAACAAGACCCAGAATCAAGTGTGCTTTGTTTGTATGGCATATTTCACTTTAAAGATCCTCCACAAAGGTCACCACTGACCTGGGAACTTCATACATATAATGCTTTTGCAAACTGAGAACGAG